TCAGAATGGATGATGCAAGACACTATTTCACACCTTGACAACCTAACAGCAATGGAAATTATAGGAATGCAGCACAGCAGAGATCAAATAGAAATATCTAATCGTCAAAAGCTAGATGGGCATCATTCCCATCAAAGAAGCAGGGCTGGAATAGCAGTGGGGGACTTGATCTACAGGAATCTATGGAGATGGATTAAGAACATGGTGTTCCTAAGGGGCAATGTGGGTGGGCAACCAATAATGGCATACTCAAAAGAGATCAAGAATAGATGAAGGCTAGGGTTGGCTGGCCCAGTGGAGAAACATGACCCCTTCCTCAGAATTCTTACCAAAACTAGTTCCCTTACCCAGAACTCACAAATTAAGGAGAGGCTGAGTCTCCTTGAGGAAAGACTCTGTATCAGCATGGAAAGAATTTGCTGTAGTCATCCCCCAGGTCTTTGCCAACATGACCAAGGGCCCTTACTCACAAAAACATATTTTAAGAAAAGGGAATGCTCAAAGTATCATCATGGCATCCTCTAGGGACAAAGAGTAGTTAGGTAATAAATGGAACTCTAGCCCAGTGCCATCTCACAACAGGTTCAAACCATGCAGTGACCCATCCAGTGGTCATTTTCTTGGTTCCCAAAAATATATTTGGAATGGAAATACAAATTGACAGAAATCTCACATTTGACTTGTTACTTATAGAATAATAGCTATTGAGGTAGGGAAAACATTCGGAGGGGTTGGCTGAGACTGTTGTCAATTCTCAAAGACTGGGAGGATTGGGGGGGGACACTTGTTACATATCCCCATTAATTCACCAATCTGACCCCTGCAAAAACTGAATGGTTGAAAACACATGGTAGTCAACTACTATAACTTAACCAAGTAGGAATCTCATTGCGGCTTCTGTACTGATGTGATATCTTTGCTAGAGCAGATTAAAGCCACTTCAGGGGCATTGTACGAGGTCATTATTTTGGCATGAGAAAGGATCTGAAGCACTTTGCATACACCTGGGACAGACAATAGTATATTACAGTCTGATCCAGTGCTAACTTCCCTGCTCTCTGAACTAATAGTCTGAAATACCAATTAGGTGCTGTAGAAGGCTGCTAGCTTTGAAAGTCAGAAAGAGCTCTGTGTCAGATTTAGACTTCATTCAGCGTAAGCAACCTGGTCACTTAGGTCGTGTGACCTAAAATATCCCTCAGTACTTGGACATATCTACAATAGAGAAAGACAATGTTTGGAGCCTCTGGAAAGTGCTAACAGGAGAGGGCTCCCAGCAGAGAATCACATACCATTTGAAAAGCAGTTCCTGACATGCTACAAGGCCAAGGTGGAAACTGGGGTCTGACTCTACAACCAGAAGCTGGGCAATATGAGACTCAACAAAGCCTGAAACTGAAGGGACCCTGAACAATCTATTGGGAAATGGATTTGGTATATTTGGAAATGGATTCAAGAGAGTCCAGAAGGCACAACTATGCTACACAAAGAGCTGTCCCCAACCTCTATGCCACCTTCCTCCATTACATTCCTGCCCCCACTCAGTTCACACCTATGCCTTCTTGGTTGTTCATATGACTAGATTATGAAGAAGGAACAGCCTGAGCCTGGGTCATGGATGGACAGGTTTTGTACATTTGTACAAGCTGAACAATGAATGCTTCTGCACTCAGAAAGACAGTGGTGAGGAGATCCCTCTGATAAACAGATTCAGATGATGCAAATCATCCATTTGTGTAGAAAGAGAAGTGACAGAAGATAAAGGTGTATGAGGACTTGTGGGCAGTGGCAGGTAGCTAGGCTGACAAGTTAGGGACCTAGAATATTGGTTTAAGGAGGTCTGTAGAAGAGCTGTGTTGATGAACTATGTGAATAGGCATAAAGCATGAGATTTTCCACTCCTGTCCAAGAAAGTACACCCAAACCTGGAGATAATCAGCAAGTTGGGGGAGATATTCTAAATTAGCATGCCAAAAAACCCTATGAAAATCCTGCCTGCATGCCAAAGCTCTTAGACATTTGTCATCCACAATACTTTCTTCATCCAGGAAGAGTTAAAACAATGGCAACCAGTGCTTGTAGAGGCACCATGTGCAAATCCCTCCCCATTGGACCCCAAGAGATAGTGCATACAAAACCCAAGCAAGGAAAGCCTAGGGACAGGTAATTCTCACATCTGAATTTTTACTCAGAAAAAAAAAATGGTGTATGCTCTTTTCTTCATCATGTTTCTATTATCAAAGAAGAAAAAAGCCCATTTCTCAGTGTCTGTAGTAAGAACAATTACAACTGGATTCCATCTCTGCCAATCTCTCTAGATGATAAAAGTCAGAACACCCTCCCTGACTGGGAAACAGTCATGAGGCTATATCTATACAATGGCCAACTTGCTCTTAGTCCACCTCTCTTTAAGAAGGGGCAGGGCAGAGGGCTCGCTCTTATCTATGCAGACTTTTGAAATACAAGAAGGGACTTCAGCAGCAGAAGCTAAGAAAACAGTGCAGTTAATAGTTATTATGACCTAATATTATTTTAGTTAGAAAACTCGTTTGAAAAATCTTGGGATTAATTTTTAGTTCTGGTTTTAATTTATATCTCATGTTATATAAAAGAACCAACTAGTTAATTTAGGTCTGCCATAGAGAAGAACATTCCCCCCTGCTCTTGCCAAGTATTCCTAAGATACCCATATGATCAATGAAGCATCACAGAGTGCTTAAAGACTCTTACAAATAAAGAAGATAAAGTCAACCCAAAGGGGAAATGGGCAAACAATTCACTGAAGAGGAAATCTTGAATGTTAAAAGCACATAAAGAGATGCTCACCTTTAACAACAATCAAAGAAATGCAAGGTGATACAGAAGCAAAATATTCATTATGCACTTCTGAGTACTGGCCAGCTTGTGAGGGAATGAGAACTCCATAGAGTCCTGGCAGGAGTATAACCACTTTGGAGAGCAGGTTAGCTATATACATACTAGAAATACCATCACGAGCACACAAGAAGCTATTCACAATAATATTGTTAGTCACATTGTCATAGGAAAAAATTGAAAGCCACTTAAATATCCATTAATTAGGGAATTAAAATCATTATCATAGATAGAAGACTACACAGTGACTTAAAATGTGAGTAAACTATTTCTGCAAGCATGAAAATAGGGGAAATCTTAGGAACACAATGTTGAGTAAAAACAGCAAAATACTATTTACATAAACATTTTAAAAATCACAAACAACAATAAATGCAATGCTGTTTGTGGAGATGTACATATGCCATAAAATATGAAAGCATGAAAAAGAAACAACCAACTTCAAGAGAGTAGTTAGCTCTAGGGACAGAGGAAGATATTTTCATTCTATCTGTAACTTTGCAAACACGGCAAAATACTAACATTTGTTAAATCTGGGTAGTCAGTACTTTTATGTTTGTTTGAAATGTTTTGTTATCTAAAAAGATTAAATTGTTTAGTCAATTAAACTAAAACATAAGGTGAAATAAAGTAGAGGGAACACAAGGCCTAGGCCAGCATAACGGTGCAGTCCTTGGCCAAAGCAGATGGACGGAGCTCAGGAGGGCTGGTGGGGGCCCCTGGTTCAGAGGGGGTGGTGGTGCTGTGGCCATGGAGATAAGCAGGCCACGCAGGGACAATTGTACTTGGGCTCAGTTGGATGGGGCCAGGGTGGAGGATGAAGGGGTTGAGCCCCAACTCTTGGGCTCTGAAGGTCCAGCTGACTGGGGGCAGGTGGTGGGGAAAGCAATGGGACGAGGATCAGGACTTCTCAGGAGAGGGTGTCAGGTTCACTCCTGGGGATACTGCTGGCCTTGCATTGCTCTCTTTTCTCCTCCCCTCCCAGCCCTTTTCCTCTCTCAGGGGTCATCTTTCCTCTTTTCCAACTGTCCAGCATGGGCACTCAAGTTTGTCTGCATTGTAGCATTAATGTCTGTATTAATTTATTTGCTCTATTTATTTAGTAAAAGGCTGATGTTCCTAATGGTAAATTAATTATTTTTTACATCACAGAAGTTTAAATTAAATTCATTTAAAAAAAATTCTTTGGCTTCCAAATGATGTTCTCCACCCTACCCAACAGCCCATGGCAAGAAGAAAAGAATTCCCCTTCTAATATCTACTTTATTTCAAGTCTTTTCTAATAATAATCCATTACACATGTGCATGCCTACTATTGTGTGGTACCAGTACTTTTTACAGGAATTATTTCATTTAATTCTTGTGAAGAGGAAAAAGTAAAGAAACAACCTTGTGAGTAGCTTATGCACATGTATAGTTATCCCCATTGCATAGATATGAAAACCAAGGCTCAAAGGGGTCAAATAACTTAGGTTAGTTCTCAAAATGGCCCAGCAGAAATTTAAACCCAGAGCACAACTCTGGCCACTGGGCTAGAATTGCCCCTGACAGGACATCTATAAAGGAATTTTGAGCATGCTATTTCATTTAGCATTATTCATTTCAGGAGTTCCTGCTTTTCTGAAATTTAGGACTTCGTGACTGTAAGACTCAGATGATTAAATTTTCAACAAGCAAAACTGAACTTTATTTTGAAAGTATCCCTTCACCCACAAATCTTGAAAACTATATTAGAGAAGAAATATCAAACAGTTTAATAAACCTATTTCAGACTGTCTCTCTTTCTCTCTCTCCTCTCTCATACACACACACAAGCACCCACACTTCCGGATCTACTAACCTAAATCAGCAGGCTCAAGGGTTTCTCAGAGACTCCCCTCAGCATTAAGGATGCTAATTGCTACTCTAGCAGTTACTGGAAGATCAAAGAACCGCCCACAAAGCTGAGCCGCGCGTTTCATCTTGCACAGACCAAACACTAATAGTGCCCATCCCCCACCCTCCACTCCCCTCTCAAGCTGGCACATTGGACCAGTTCCCTTTCCTCTTCCCCACATGTTCTCCCCCCCGCTCCTAAAATAGCTCTGTGCCAAAAATAAGTACTTGGAAAAATGCTTAGGGAATGGAGAAAGGTAACTTCACTATGGTTATGGTACCCTGACTTGTTTAAGGACGTACTTGTTTGTTTCTGATAGTGATTCAGAAACCCATCACTGGGAACCCTCTGCATCCCCTCTCCCAGGAGCTGGGGCAGGAATTCTATGGGATTGTCATTGCTCATCCTGCCTAGCCTTTTGTGCTGCATGAAGTCAGTGGACTTTTGCTCAGGAGAGTTGTTTTTTTCTCAAAAACAGGGCTGTGAAAAAGGGCCCCCCTTTCCTGGGGCAAGGGATTACCCTTCTGGGCCCAGCACAATAACAGAAGAGGTCTTTCGTCATGCTTGGCAAAGTGAAGTTGGTACATCTAAAGGGACCCTATCACCGATGGTCTAAAACATCTTGCTCTGAGACTGGATAAACAAGGCTGTTTTCCATATTTTGCCCCCAGTTCCATGAAGGAGAGAAAATCGGAAGAGATGGATGGCAGACCACAGAGCCCCTCAGAGCAGGGATAGAGATGTGAGTCTCAGATGTCAGTGAATGGGGCATCCCTTGAAAGATCAAGTGCATTGGGTATCCACTTACCAAAGATGGGCACCCCGTGTATTGCAACAGGCAGCTCAAGCCTCCAGGAAAAAAATTGCCCTGTACACAATAGGATTCTGCTCTCCTACAGGGGCTACTTTCTCCCACCCTGGTCAGGGGCCTCCCAGGCAGGCAGACACTGTTCTTCCCACTGGTCACTGATGGGAGTCCAGGCCTGGGCCCAGATTCTCACTTGTATATCTGCCTCAGGCTTTTGCAGGGAGCATACCTGCTCCCAGCCCAGCTCCTTCGGCCATTAGGGATCTTTGTGTCCTGAGGGCTACATGTTTTTAGGCCCTCCTCCTATGTTAAGTTTCCTAACTCTATTTCTGTTTCCATAGAATTCCTTCCTTCTTCTCTCGCTCCCTTCCTCTCTATCTCTCTTATCTTCAGTCTCATGGTTTATCCAAAAGAACAGTCTCTAGAACCTAGACCCAATCCCCACTTTTCTATAGCTACCTCCATGTCTCTGGTTCTGAGTTTCTCTCTGTGGACCCATCAGTCTCCTAGCAACTCACCATTTCCCGCCTCTGCTCTCCCAGATCTATTAGTAAACCACTGCCAGGTGCAATTTTTTTGACTCTAAGGATGGTCCTGTTTATGGCATACCCCTGCTCAAATGCCCTCAGTGACCTTCATTAAAGACTTTATTACTTATGCTATGTCAAGGATCCTCAAGTGTATGTTATAAGTAAGAGATCAACCCCGAGTTTTAATCTGTGCAATCTTTCTGAGTGGGTAACGGACTTGGCCACAGGGGTCCAGGTAGCAGGAAGGTCCTAGGAGCTTGGTGATAAGATATGGATTACATGAATAGGTGCTGGCTTTTGGTCACTAAAATGGAGACCACCAAGCAATAGCCATTTCTAAGCTTGTACTGGGTTGGAGAAGAACATACCCCAGTAGTCAGAGATTCAGGATGCTTAGGTTTGTTCTGAGAGTCATGGTAGGAGGCTATTTGAATATAATACAGTAGAGTCACCTAAATTGTCTTCCATCCAAATGAGGGCATCCTGCTATCCCTTTGAATGTAACTTTTCCCAGGATAAAAAGTGAAGGGGGGTAAAATGTGAGTCCAGTGAAAGCTGAGCAACACCTGAGCTGCTGTGGCCCAGGTGATTGACGCTGGGTGTTCCTCTGCTGCAGTCAGTGAGAAGAAAGAGCAGCAGCCCTATGCTCAGCAGCCCCAAGTGGCACACTCAGCACTGCAAGCCCAAGCCACACAGAGAGGCAGAGGGAAGGCCAAGGCTGAGAGGAGGAAGAGGAGAAAGATCTGCCATTGAGTTCACTCACAGAGCACCCAGGGGCCCCTTAGGTATAAGAACAGGAGAGGGTGGTACTTTCCCAGAGGATGTGAGTTGGTTCACTACAGTGGCAGCTATCCCTCATTTGCCTATGCAGGCAATAACCTGAGGCAAGTAGGTTATGGTTGAACAACTTGGAAATTGGATAAGGAAAGTCCCTCCTCAGAGGCAGCAATTGTATTTGGCCCCTGGCCCTCAGACCCAAGGTGAACTGTTCGCTCTCAATGGACACACCCCAAAGGCCCTGCCATGATGCTTTTTCTCATGTGGCAGCTAGCTGGGATGACCTCCCTCTCTCTGCTTCTCTGGCTTTGGTTTTTAAAATATTACCCATCCTTCAGGACTCAGCATGAGTGCTTCCTCTTACATGAAGTTTTGCTTGATTGTTTCTATTCTAAGTGCTTTTCCCCCGTGATTTCTCACAGCCATTTCTACTTGTGTTATAATTCTTACCACACCCCAGTTTGTAGTGAAGCTGTTTGTGTGGGTCAGCGTCTTCCAGGAGGTTAATTTAATAGGCATTTTTTTTCACGATTTTTCATGATCTCTTAGCAATATTTCACATTCCTGAGTAGAGTTTCCTTCTTAGAATTCTTGTTCCTCTGGCATCTCTTATAGACATCTGGATCTTGCTTTCCTGGATTCTTCTCTTATTTCCTCAAGTAACAGCATCCTGCTTTTCTTTTGATGAACCACCCTTTCCAAAACTTCCAGTCTGTGTAGTGGGAGAAGGGCCAATGTCAGTCCTCAGCTCAGAGATGACTGTCCAATTCACAGGGTGCCAAAAATAATGAGACCTGGTGTTTTGCTGAACCAAGAGAAGATATACATACTCTTTACCTCAGGTAAGATTAACCTGAAGCTTCAGCAGATGACCTGATCAGACCACCAAATGGAAAAATGCATCTGGCAAAACCTCCATCTAAAAGAAGGCAGAACCGAGATGGAGAGGCCCATTCTGAGGACCTATTTGAAAACTTGGATAAAGTCATATCTAGCTAGTCCTGATTTTAAGTTATAAGAGTCAATACATTTTTTTTTTTACTCCATCAACTGAAGATAGACTTCAGTAACATGAATTTAAAAGAGTCCTAATTCAGTCTCTGATATACTATAATCCCCTGGCTTCCTCATACCTGATTGTTCCTTATCTCTTTTGCTAACAATCTTCAAGTCAGACTTTATTTTATTGTTTTTAAATAAGTGGCTTTTTATTTTTTTATATAGTTTTAATTTTTCAATTTGTTTTCATTAGTTTTACATGACATCAAAAATGCATTTTGACACATCATACAGAAATGTCTGATTCATTCTGCCATCATTCCTACCCCCACTCCACCCCTTCACTCCCCTCTGTCTAATCCAAAGTACCTCTATTCTTCCCTGGTTGCCCCCACCTTATTGTGAATTAGCATTCACATATCAGAGAAAACATTTGGCTTCAAGTCAGACTTTAGATGTCAGAATCTATCAAAGGTTGGTCCTATGCTGCTTCCCATCTTGTTCTTTACGTCTCCCAAGGCAATCTTAACCAACCATGACTTTAATTGTCATCTCAAATCCACAACTAATTTACAGAGATCTCTCTCAGAACTAGGTTTTTCACTCACCCACTCAGAGTCCATGTGAATGCTTTAGGGCACCTTCAACAGGTTACACCAGTCCTGAGTGATGACCCTTCCTCCCCAAGCAGCTCTCATCCTCTGTTCTTATCCTAGAAAATGGCTCAAGACAAAGACCAAGGGTCACGTAATGTATTTTCCACAGTTTGGCTGAAATTAAAACAAACAAAAACACAAATTAGATGATGTCTCTTCTGTTCAAATGCTTCTAAAACCTTCCATTGCTCGTGGGATAAAGGTCAGAATTAATAATACAGCTCTGAAGGTCCTGCCCAACGTGGCTTCCTCACTTCATCCCCCACTGCTTCCTGTTTGCTCCCTGAACCCTGTCACTCTGCCTCTTACTACTACTTTGAAGGTGTCCCACCTCAGGGTCTTCCCATCCACTTCTCCCTCCCCTTAGATCTCCTCATCTTCACCTCATCCACTGCAAATCATCCTCAGATCATAGCTAGAGGTCCGAGAAATCTTGCCTTACTCTTTCAAACAGCATTGGATGACCACAACACACTCTTATAAGTAACTTTCTTCTTCAGATCATATGTCAGTTTGATTCTTTGATTAATCTCTCTCTCTCTCTCTCTCTCTTTTTCTTTTTTTTTTGGTACTGGGGATAAAACCCTTCCTAACCACTGAACCACATCTCTAGCACTCTTTTAAATTTTGAGACAGGGTCTCACTAAGTTGCTTAGGGCCTTGCTAAGTTGCTGAGACTGGCTTTGAATTTGTGATCCTCCTGCCTCCCAGGGAGCTGGGATTACAGGTGTTATGCCACCACACCCAGCTTCTCTGATTAATATCTAGGTCCTCCATGAGACCATGCTTTAGACCATGACTGTTTTTCTCATCTAGGTTTCCTTAGCATTAGGACCTGCTATATAATGGGAATTGATTAATATTTGTAGAATAAAATATTTGTTGATTCCTGCTGAGTGAATGGGTTCTTATAGACAAGTAGAAGCAGGTGGTTTAGTGGAAGAGTAGCTTCCAAGTAGCAGGACTTCCAGGGGTGAGGCCCAGAAAAATGACACCCCAATGAGCAGACAGAAGTCTTGGAGAACCAGAAGAATGAGACCAGGCCTGAATTAAGGTCACAGTGATAAAGGGAAGCAGAATGAGATAGGATCATGGGGCAGTGTATCTGTAGACAGATATGCACTTGGCTGAGCTGTTTAGCTGAAAATGGAGTGGAAAGTCCCAGATGACATTTTCTAATAGAGATGAATTTTGAGGATAACCATTTATAACCTGATCAAAGAGTTTCTAACACATGTGTGATGTGTATCCTGTATAAAATTAAAGAGTGAGACGTGGTGTGGTCTTGCAGATAATTCCGTTATGTAATCTTCAGATGTGTGACACTCCTGCTATCATTGTATGTTAAAACTTTAGAGAGAAATGTGAAAGTGATACTCTTGGGAAATTAATAAGGCAAGGAGAAAAAGCTCCATGAGTTCCTTGTGCCAGGAGATCTTTATGTGTTACCTAACAGTACAAGCCACCTGGACAGGGAAGTCAGAACACTTGATTTAGACCGATCTGCCCACTTCTCATTCAAATCTTTGCATCTCAGAAAAATTGGGATTGTAACATACAGTTTATTATGGGAATTAAGTGAAATAATAATACATTCAAGGTCTTAAGAATAGTTACTGATATAATATAAACAATCAAAAAGTTAGCTGTCTTTGTCTTTTTAATATTTTCGCATGACTACCTCCTGGATTCTTTCTAAGAGCTGAGGCTACTGTTGTGAAGAAGACAGATAAGATCTGACCCTTATGGAGCTTCTATTCCAGTTAAGGTAGAAACAAATTAATAAGTAAACTAGTGAACAAGATAACCTCAGAGGGGGAACGATGCAAAGAAAGATGGTAGGTGGAATGTTCCTGGGGGCAGAAGCTCCTTTCTAAAGGGAAGTCAGGAAAGGCCTCTCTGAAGAGGTGATTGAGCTTCAGAAGAATCCATCAGGGGAATTCAGGGACAGCTGCACAGCAACTGCAAATCCCCTGAGGCAGAACTGAGTTGAAGTTGTAGGGACAGAAAAATGATGACTCTTTTTCTCACCTACCAAACAATATCCCTGTAACAAAAGACAGGTTAATAAGAGAAAAGCATAACAAGTTTATTTAATTATACTTTCATGTGACACAGGAACCTTCAGAAATTAAGACTCAAAGACCCAGGGAAAACTATTTTCATGCTTTAATTCAATGAATAATGGACAGCCATGAAGAGAGATAACTGGACAAAATAGGCGTGGCCAATGTAGTAGACTAAAGGGGATCCAGCAGGGCATGTCTGTTCAGGGTCTTCTTGGCCTCTCTCTGTGTGGTGTTCCTGCCTCCCAGGTACTGGGCCAGACCTCTTCTGGAATAAGGTGTTATGACTTACTAGCACACAAGGCCGGTCAGAGAATTTCTTCACAGATAGCTCCTACATAGAAAGAGGTGGAAGTTTAGTATTTCTAGGCTTTATGGCTGGCTTTGGGGTAAAGAGGTTCTAGTTCCTCTGATCCAATTTGGTGAGAATAAAATTCTTAGTTTCTATACCCTGTTTTGGTGAAGAAGAAGAAAGGGGAAACAGAAGAAAGAAATACAGAAGCAGTTCAGAAGGAGACCTTGCCTCTGAAGCCTGTCCAGTGTCCTGCAGTTCAAAGTACTCGGCATGCCAAGTGCCATACTTTGAAGTTTTGCTTTCTGAGACAAAGTGTTAAAGGCCAAGAGGGTGGCTAGGGTGGTGAGAGAGGAAGACAGTGGCACTAGAGGAGATGGAATGGAACAAGACGGAGGAAAACACCAGCCCTGGCTTTGACTGACCAAAGAGCAAAGCAATGGTTGACTGGCAGTGAGAATCCTAAGGGGATGCACCTGCTGTGGGAGGCAGCAGCTCAGCAGAGTGTAGCCCTGCGGTAAACAGGAGGCAGGACCCTGAGCAGAGGAAAGAAAGCAGTGAATGCTGAGGCCAAACCCCAGGGGAACCATGGCCTTCAGAAGAAAGGACCTCTCCTCTGGCATCTTGCTCCCCACCTGTGGCAAATAACTCTAGTTGCCTCACCAACGTCCATTCCCTCTTCCTTCCTTGCAGCACAAGTTTGATTTTGTCCATGGCAACCATATGAATGAGCCCAAGGGAACCAGGGTTGGTCCAATGTGGGAAGACACTCCTGAGCTATTTAGTATCTTCACGAGGCCTGGAGCCAAGGAGATTTTGGTTTGGCATTGCAAGTCACTCTGTGTCTCCTCCCACTTAACAAATTATGCAATGCACATGACCTCAGGCTTGGCTAGGAAGGCTGCTCTGGTAGCTCCAGAATTGGGCGTGACCCATTGGGCCTAGACAGCCCATCTCCTACCTTATTTGGTGGAAGAACATTCTATGGAAAACATTTGAAGTTTCCCTCATATATAATAAAGCAAATGTGGGCTCTCTCTGTCACTTCACAGTGTGGAAGCTTGACCCCTAAGGTCAAAGAGCCATCCCACCCCCACTTTTCAAAATTATTGTCTGTGTAGTGTGTTTTTTTCCCACAGCCTTCTTTCCTTAGCTTTATTTCGCAGCCATTCTGCATCACGCAGAGGAAACTCAAATTCCACCATCGGCGCGGGACGTGGGTGAGAGTCCAACCCATCAAAACAAGGTGTACACTTGAAGCTCATAGGGGAAGCAGTGCATGGGACCCCAGCCCCAGGGAGGCAGACCTACACTTTCAGACCTGAGACATGACACTCTCCACTCCATGCTCCACCTGGACTCTGAGAGCTGTCTGATGAACACGACTGACTTTGCTACCCCACAGTCTTTGTTAGAACATCTTTGCTTTTCTGAGACTTCACAAAATGTCCGTGAACTGGGCTGGGGCTATAGCTCAGTGGCAGAGTGCTTGCCTAGCATGTGTGAGGTACCACATAAAAAAATAAATTAATAAACAAAGATATTGTGTGTCCCTCTACAACTAAAAAAAAATATTTTTAAAAAAATCCATGAACTTTGCAATGGGAAGCATTACAGACTGTGTTCCCCTTAGGATTCTGTGTCTCTCCTATCAGAATCCTCACCTTCCTCTTCCCGCCAATCTTACCTTTAATCAAACTTGCATTCTCAGTAAATTCTGCCTTACCTGCCCCTCCATCCCTGGTCCAGAGATACAGCACATGCTCTGACTCTAGCAAGAGCTGTTTATCCTCCCTTACAGACTAAGTCATATTCTCTGCTTCAGGTAGCAAAAGGTTCCCGTGGTAATGTTTAGGGATCCAGCCTTTGACAGTTCTGGCTTCGAGCAGAAACTTGACCTAATGCTAATTATAAGTAAACACATCTTTAAAGATTTCAATGGCAATAAAAGAGATGTGAAAGGAGAACAAGATAAATATCCATCAACTTCAAATATTCCTCTGAAACATGTTCAGATTCCTTTTAGTAGAAAATTGGATTCTAAACCTAGTGCAGTTTGCAGAGGTTCTCAGAGGTGCAAGGGAGAAAAGCAAATTTCCCTCACCCATCCCTGTTTCATGGCTGAGGCCTCTAGAACAACAGACAGATAAACAAAAGAAAAGCATGCACATCTATTTAAGTTTTACATGATACAGGATTCTTCATAAGGAAGATCCAAGAAACAGTTTAACCTGTGTATTTCTAGCGCTAGGTTTGATAAGAGTGGGTCAGGCTGGGGCTGTAGCTCAGCGGTAGAGCCCTTGCCTAGCATGCGTGAGGCACTGGGTTGAATCCTCAGCACCACATAAAAATAAATAAAATAAAGGTATTCTGTCCATCTACAAGCACAAAAAATAAAAATTAAAAATTAAAAAAAAAGAGTGGACAGCCATGGAAAACTTTGATAGGACAGAAAGTGCATGATCTAATGGTAATAAACCGGGGGAAACATACCAAGACCTATTTGTTCAGATTCTTCTGTGTCCCTGTGTCTTCAGGGAAATAATGTTCCTTTCCTCCAGGTACAGTGTGGACACCTCTCAGGAGAGTCAATGACTGTTTCAGGGACCATCAGAAAATAGGTTTTATGACCTACTTCAAGAAGGGAGGACGGCAGACCTTTCTGCTTCTGTGATTTTCTCAAATTCCCACAGCTTAAAATATTCAATATGGCAAAGCCCTAAATTTTAAGGTCGCATGTTCTGAACTTCAACAAA